TACGAGGGGAAGTCAAGAGGTGGAAACGCTCGTATGTACCTTTTAATGTTTAATCATTTTTTTTAAATTGATGATGTTCATAATTGTATACAGTTTAGGATGAGTTAATAAAAACGTTCCTTCCGTGTTTTTTTTTCCATAACGATCAACAAATTAGATGTGATATTTAAGCAGAAGGAAATAAAATTGTCAGCCCAAGGTTAAGATTTAACTAAGTCTGGAAGAATGTTATTACCTAAAAAAGACATTATTCATTGGAAACATTCAATTTTCTAAATTGCTCCACTTTCCTCAAATAATCTGTCACTAGTCAGCCAGCTAACATTTTCCATTCCCTAAGGAAAAACTTGGAATAAAAATCATTAGGATACTTGTCACAAATAATATCAGAGTGAATTCCATAGTGCAGGAAATTGCGATCACTTTCTCTGAAGGAAGCAGGGAAGGTCGTGACGCCAATCAGATATTGAAAACAGAGTGAGGCAGCCAAGCAGAAAGCTTTGCCTTGCTTCGGAAATGAAAATATCAATATCCTATGTGTTGATACTGAAGCAGTGAAAGAAATAGATCATTGCTTGTTAATTGAATCTGGTAGCTGTGCGGACTCAGTGTCAGTTCGGACATTAGGAAAGAATATCATGAGTCGTAAATAAGCCATTCTGATGAATGTCACTCATATTGTTATTGATTTTTTCATAGAATGGTATTTTTCCCTTTTCAATATCCAAGCCTGATAGTTGATTGGTCATGCACCAGGAATTGTGAATGGTAATAGTTTTATTAGAGAGCTAATACAAATAGATAATGTATAGGAATTGTATAAGGCATTGATTATATCTAATGTGTTACCTTTGTTATTAAATAATAGTCCTACAGGAAAACACAGAAGTGAAGTAAACAAAGTGATTATTACATGAATATTTTGTCTTATAATTGAATAAATCCGTTTTTAACAAATCATGTTTCATTTGAATTTTGCATTGTCATTTTAAGACTTAAGCAACAACTTGTCAGGTCATGTGGCGAGAATTTTGCAAGGGAAACAAATTGTAGGTACTTGTATACTTTCTAAAGCAATATATGATACCTTTGTATTCAAACCTTTTTCTGGTTTGATTCCCTCTTGCAATGTTAGTGATGCAGGACGGAGGGCCTGACAAGGACAGCTGTCTAGTCGTTCGGATGGGATGAAAAACCGAGGTCCTATGTACACATTGGCGTGCCCATAAAAGATCCCTTGACAGTTGGAATTCGATATAAGAGTAGGCCGTAGTGCCGCTGTCCGGGCAAAATTTCCCTCATAGTACACTGTATGTCGTATGCCCATCATCATTAGCCCAGTTCGGAGCAAAACAGTAGGACGTTAAACCCCATTTCATTTCATTTCATCTTTGTATTCAAACCAGTAAATTTATACACAACACCAATTACCCCAGAAGAATATATTTTCACAACATTTTTTTTCTTTCTTATCTTTGTTTGTTTAAGAGTATAAATTCTGCGGTATTGTCCTGGAATCTTGTTTTGTATGTAATCAGGATGGGCTGATAAATAAACACAACTTATTTACAAGGATTATTGGTCTACAAGGCAATTCTGTCAAATTTAGAGTTTTTGAAAATGCTCTGTTTAAACATTTAACATAACAATCATCTGCTTTAAACTAAAGAAAGAAATTTTCATTAAGTAAATGATCTGGACTCTTATGTAAGTTAATGGTCGACCTTCTTTTTATTTTTATCGAAGAAGCTGTTTTCCACATTTTATTACAGCTCTAATGTCTTGGGTTGTTTGATTACCAGATTTCTCTTTGTAATTGTAATGTGTTTCTAAAATGACCAGCTAGGGAGTTAATTTGTTTTGTGTGACAGTCAGGTGAACTGTGAATAAGGTTTATAGCAGAATTAATGACATTATCTGGTTGAAGGTTCCACACTGAACAACAGTCCTATAAACAAGTATAGGATGACAATTATATGGCAATGACAGGCAATCAAGAGATTCACTATTAATAATGACAGAAGAATATACATTAATATCTATATAGGCATATTTTTTGATTCATATTTAATATCTATTTTTTTTTGTTTTTATTGATAATACTCATCTTTAAAAATAGCAGGAATGGGTTTAACATAATATAATAAAACAAGGAAGAAGATATTTATAGTATACCAACTGATTTCTACCGTAAAAAATATTTATTCTTCCACATGCATAATGTTGTCACGTACCCCTTTTAGTTTGTCCAGAATTACTCTACTGTATAGAGAATAAATTAGAATAGAATAGAATTTTATTGCATCAAAATGCACTTTTAGGGCAGCATACAGTGACAGACCTTTCTTTTCCTGGAGTTTCTGGCGCCAGACCCTGTAAACACTCTACAGGACAGAGCTATTTATTGTAAATTGTTTCAATGGCATTGTAGGTTAATTTTACATCACAACATATAATTACTTTTTTTTAACTCTCTTCTAAAATCTGCTGGTACATGTACCGTTATTGCTGTTGATTGGCAACGTTATGACGTTAAGAAACTAATACAGGATATTTTTTTAATTTTTATTTTTGTGCAATTCCATGTAGGAAATATATATTACCAAGACCTAGTGTGTAGACATTTTATTCTATCCATCACTCAATGCACAAATCTTGTAAATGCCATACCACAAGTCAAACTTTCTTGGAATCTTTAGCTTATGACAAGGAAGAACCCCTATCAAAATGAGTTGCCCATCCAGATATTGCTTCTGTCACTAGAATTCTGTAAATGCTAGTCAGATAGACATACAGTGGTACCAATTTCAAATTCAGTGTCACCCATCAAAGTATTTTCAGCAGTTCCCAAAACTTTGTAATAGTTCTACAGATCCATTGTTGGAACGTAAAGAAAATACCTGTTTCGTAACAAGGAAAGACCCTAATGATTTCTCTAAAAGTATTTGATATGCCATTGACACCTTGCACATTCAAAATCTTAACATTTTTTAAATGGAGCAAAATACTGTGACTTCCTCACTTCCCAAAGTTGATGGTTGGTGCCTCCCTTCACAGTGCTGATAATTGGTGTGTTGTTGTTAGCTGGCTATGCTATGTTGTTTTTCGGATTTGATTAGTCCCATGGGAGGAGCAGGTAAGGGCATAGACACTTTCACAAAAATGTACATATTAAGAAATCTATTACTATTATACAAAGACACTGCACAAGTCATAATGAAATTGTTGACATTCGTAGGCAATGCAGAATAAATGTGGCATGAATAGTTAACTTGACGGACAATCTTAGACATCTAGTGTGAAATAATGTAGAAGATAATCATTGAGGCAGTGAATAATCCATTCTACTTTAAACTACTTGACAATAATGACAAAACAAGAAAACTAGCATACTTTTTATCTTATGCTAACCGTATGACTAAATTATCTTCTTGCCTAATTAAACATCAGTCTACCTATAAATACATCTGTGAAAATGTCAAAGCTGTCTGTTTAATTTTAGCCAAATGGAAAATCAAACCAACACTTATTGATTTTTCTAAGCTGTTTTTGCCCTGGTATGTCTTTTATTACATAGAAGCTAAATAGGGATCGCAGGAACAGAAATACGCTTTGTGCCAATTTATTTGAGAAGCTATCACCTGCATCAACAGACAAGTGCAGAAAAAGCTGGAAATATTTTTTGATTGTGTTACAATTCCATATGGAAGCCATCAGAGCATTCTCTTGTCGGATATTATCACGAGAAACATGCTTCATTGCCAAGCAGAACATATCCATATTGACCTCCCATTCTACTATAATATTTTAACAGTTCTCACTGCCACAGATTCAATAGGGGGGAAATGATGTCATGATATGAGGCTGTAACAGGACAACCTATACTTACTCACTCTTTTATTGTTGCAACTGTTTTGTCGTATTACTTTGTGAAATAAGAATAAAGTGATGGCTGACAATATTTTGAATAAAATGATAATCCAATCTGATTAAAATACAGATCTATATGAAGATCTGACCGGTTGTAGTGGATGATCACATCAGGGGTCATACGAGCGGCTTTTGACCCTATGACATCAGACATTTGATTAACCAATCAGCGGGGATTACCCACAGTTCTGTGTACCTCACTCCCAAAATTTGCCGTAACAGACCATTTAATTGGCTAATACCCCATATAATCCAGACTGGGGGTTATAGAAGAAAGAAACTTTAGTGCATAAAACAACCTTACAAGGTTATGTGCATATACAAATAAACATAATAGAAAGATACATGAAACAAACAAAGGATACATACATTGACATAATTATACAAAGATACACAGCTTTACAAAGACATAAACGAATTGTATATAAAAGCTCCTAAACATTTTAAAATTTCTGTATTTTTATTCATCAACAGTATTTTAAATTGTTGTAAATCATTCAGTTTAAACCCTTCCAAATCCTAGTGTAGTAAAAACAAGTAAAACGAAACTTTGAACTATAAAAAACGAAACAAAATAGGATCTTTGTTTTAATCAGATTGATGATAATCCAAATTAACCTTGTAGATAAGCAGTAGACTAGGCAGGAATTTGCTTGGTGGTAGGGTGAAATGTGGGATGGGAGTGACGGGGGACTTAAGGGTTGAGTGATCGAAGGTCATGAAATGAGCTCCGATGTTGCTCATGCAACTGTCAAGCATATTGTCTTCTGTCTAAATGTGCTTAGTTTACACTGATACACTTTTATAGGCAAAACATTGATTTGCCGGTTGCTGTTTTTTGCAGGAAAAAGCAAATCAAAAACATTTTTTAGCGCAGCATTTGTAACATCTGATGGGTTTTAAAGGAGGAGTAAAAGAAGCCTTTAATAATATATTTAACACAATTTCGTTTGCTCCATTTATCATGCCAAAATTATGCCCAAAGAAAACAAAAGTCTTTCTTTATAAACAATAATAGCCCTGTTTAAGATGTTTATGTAATATATTTTTGTTCTCTTCTGTCATTACAGATTGTGAGCAAAGTTTCTGCCCAACCTGGTTATGATCTGGATCTTGGTTACCGTCTGCTCGCAGTATGTGCATCCCACAAAGAAATGTTCAGTGCCAAGGCACAAGGTTTGTGTAAATTTTATTAATTTAGATTATAATGAAACCAACATATACATATTCCATTCTAAGTCTTACACAGCTTAATTATTTCATTTATGGTAATCCCCATTCTTTTCTTCTTTTTTTTTTAATAATCCCTCTAATAATGTCTACTATCCAGTTAATCTGTCACGTAAGACTTAAATTAAAAACATAAATTTCTTTGGTGCAACTTCATAAATACATAAAAAAAATATTTAATTTTATATTATTTTTTTTTAAATTTAAAATTTATATTTTCTTTTACGTTTATTTTCCCTTAAATAACAGCTTCAGTTTTCTCCTGCTTAGATTATAGTATATGTATAATTTCATTAGATTTATTTAAAAATGTGGTCAGTTCTCATTTTCTTTTCTTTTCCATTTATTTATTTGGCTCTTTTTTTTTCTTTTCTTGTATGAACACTTATTGAAGTAAGTATTAAAATGAATTTGATTATTCACTAATTAGGTTATTTTGATTAAACTTCACTAAATTATGTTTTATTATACCCAGATTTGTTCACAAGCACATCGGTTACATTTGATTAATTGCACAGTTGAAATTGTTTATTATTTACACAAGCATCAAGATTCTTCTCTTCTTATTAATAGACAAAACAGACATATATAATAAAATAAAATATTTATTATTTTGGCAACAATTTAATTGATTGCTTGTTATCTGATTTTTTGTAAAAGTTGAAATTTTTTATATTTGTTATTTTTTTCTCCATATTCTTATTAATAATGAGGCTACATTAGAGAAATTATTCTTCAGTAAAAAAAAATATAAAACATACTTTTATTCCCCTCCTGAAATACTTCTATCAGTATTTCTTTATTGTATTAAATGTAGTTATGTTTTATGTTGTTTCATATGCCATGACAGCAATGTTAACATACAAATGTGCACAACTCAAACCATGGGGAATAACTCTTGGATAAACTTGATTGATTTGTAGCAAAGAATAAATAAATTATTCCCAGTTGATGGGAACATTAGGATGTATGTTTTTGATTGGTGTTTATTATAGTGATGAATAATTGATATGTTGATATTGATTATTATAAGACTACCGTTGTATATCAGTATATAGACTCTACTATATGTATCAATTATATAATACATTTAGTTATTGAACTATTGTGTATTTGTTATATAATCTTTTGTATTATTTATAGCAATGTTGCTCTTTGACATGCAAAGGGAGTGTATTAGATGTGGGGTCATGTGCGGCAAATGTGCTTGGGGCGGGGGTACATATTTAATAACCAGTTTTTACATGGTAATCAGAGACTTTTGAGCAATTATTATATTCATATATTTTGGCAACAATTTGATAGACTTCTAAAAACTTTAACTTACAAAGGTCGAGAGGGTCTGCAAATGTGGTTGGGGGGGGGGGGGCGGCGGAGTTGTTTTAGTCAGTAATAACCAATGTTTAGATGGTTATAGGTTTTAGGCAAATTATTATTCATAAATTCTGACATTAATTTTATAGCCCTCCCAATATTTATGGAGTTAGTGCAGATTTTTTCTTAGCGCCATTTTAGAGATACAACTTTTCAAATAAAATTATCTTTCTTTATTCAAATACTGTTTGAGAATTTTGTGTTGTGACCTCAGGCCAATATCCTTTTCAACCAATCGCAAAATGAATTTAAAGGTGCTGTCCCAGATGTATTTTTGTGATTAAAATTGTTTATCTTGTAATTCTGTGGAAAAAAGCTGTTAGTAATTAACCCTAGCTCTGTGATACTTTTTAAACAAAGATATATTTTTGTTCTATGTTTTTTAGTGTTTGATTAAACATGTCTATAAACCAAGCAGTTTTACCATGACATTTTTGGACCTGGAACCGGTCCCCAATCGCTACTCATCTTGTTCGTGTTGTTCTTGGGGGCAACACTCTATTTAAAAATACTGAAGCTCCCCCAAATTCATGTACTATCGACATGAAACTTGGCACACTTGTTCCTTGCAACAATTTTGCATTGGTAGATGGAGTTGGATTTTTGATATGTCGTCACAATTCTAAAATGGCTGCAATGATGATGTCATACTCGGTTCCTGGTCCATATTATGCTATTTCTGGTTCTAGTTCCCTTTCATTTTCCAGTAAAATGTAGAATTTTGGAAACGGAAGTACACCATTTTTGCATTATTTATTTATTTCGAGTCAGTATATAACCGTAAAACTTTCAGACACGGTTAAAAGGCTGTTCCTTTATATTCGATTTACACATTTAACCCAGCTTGTATCTGTGTACTCAGTCAAATCTGGGATGGCTTCTTTAAGGAATATAACAGGAAATAATGAGCCGTTGATTATTTTTGAAAATTGTTTTATAATAGATAAAGAGCTTTGTATAAACAAGAATTACCAAAGAAACTGATTTCAAGCTTGAATGTTTGAGAGAGTAAGGCATTGAGTAAGGCATGTCTCACTAACCGAGTTAATTCTGCTGTTGGCCGAGAAAGTTCCACAGGATTTTCCAATCTGGTTTTCCCCTTGTCAGCAAGGGTCTAGTCTTTTAAACTAGATGAAAATTCTGGAGTCCTGTGCACATGTGTTAGTGTGTACTTAAAGGAACCCTTTATGCTTGGTATTCAAATAGGCCGAAATTGTAGCTTATTTGTTGCATACTGCATGGCGTATGCCCATCCTTATTAGCCGAGTTTCCATGGTGCAGAAAAGTAGGATGTTAAACCCGATTTCACTTGATTTGAATGTTAGTAGTGTAGTGATGTATTGATCAAGTTGATGGAGTATGATGATTTTTGTGGAAGAACTAATGTTAAACTGTGTAACTAGATGTAACCAACTTGTCAAATAAAACAAGCAAGGACAACTGCCATTGGAAGGAAGTTGGTTACAGAACAAACAACATGTCGTCTGTTTACAAGAATTTTTCTTTTTGACCTCCACATATCACAACAGATCAAGAGGACACAAAGTATTTGGGTTGCAGTTTTGGCTTATAAAAAAAATGAGAATTTCAATCATTTTACGAAGTTATGGTTTTATTCTGCGATTTATTTTTGTTTAATTTTGTATAATAAGTTTATTTATTCCATCATTTTATTTGGGTCAAAATTTGATATTTTTTTTTTATGTGCTGATTTGTTTTGTTGGATGACAATCTGTTTTCATTGAAAATTTAGGTCTGTAGATAATGTCAGTATTGAGATAACAGAATAATGAAAACTAAAATTAGTAAACAAGCTGGCTTCCGCTAACACTTTCTAATCAATAATCAAAATAACGCATCAGATGAACCCAGTTCAATACTTTATTCAACTCAAATCAAAGAAGTCTAGCTCCTTTGAGTAAATTACATCTCAATTTGTCCTTTCTTTCATCTCTAATTGTTGCAATGATATAAATAAAATAAGTTGATAAAACCACGCAAAATGTAAATAAAATAATAATCTGTTCTAAACATATGCAATGAGTAGGGGTAGTTAAGGTTTCATCAAATGTAAAGTATACAATACCATGCATGAAAAATTTAGTAATAAAAAAAATAATAATAAAGTACTAAACATGTGCATTCAGTAAAGGTAGTTAAAATTTCATCAAATGAAAAATATGCATTACTATACATTATAAATTTAGTAATGAAAAAATAATATAGTGGCAAGTGGCCAATATAAAATTGTTCTATTCAAGTTGCACCTTTTTTTCAATGAGATTTTCGTGTTGTTGTTTTCATATGAGGAAGTTCCAAATATTTTGACATTGTGCCAGTTCTACTGTTGTCACACAGCCAAGAGAACTGATAGCATGACTTGAAACTATTGAAACTATGGTAGTTATTGAAGCTATTAACATTTGTCCGTTGGAAAAGAATAACTCTTGTCAATACATATATGTAGGCAATGATAGACATAAAAAAAGGTTGAAAGAATCAGAGCACAGATGAACATTTAAACCTGTCTTCCAAAAGAAAAGTAAACCACGAGAGAGCTAAAAGATCGTGAAGTTAATACAGAAGATATAGTTGTCCGTCAGTTTGTGTTGTGATCGGAAGCAAGTTAATTTAGAGGTTGTCAACCTATCATTAGATGGAAGGCATGTGTATATATATATATAAATACTAATTGTAGGCTATCATTATTATATTTTTCTATGCCCTCTATTAAAAATCTGGCAGTCCATCTAGCATTCAGGATCATATAAATGTTGACCTAATTCTTTTTTTGAATTGCCTGTCTTCATTAGCCTGGATGGAGAGCAGAAAAGTAGGACGTTAAACCCCATTTGTTTTCATTTTTCGAAATTATAATTTTCGCTATTGGTTGGAAACCATCTCAAATATTTTCAATTGTTTTGCGGAAAATTATTGGGAATTAAAACCATGACAACTTACGAAACCTTGTAAATACTCTCTTGTTCAAAGTTATGATCTTATCTCTTTAGATTAAACATTATTTTATGTAATATTCAACATTAGTGAGACAATGAAGCCTATGGAATTTCACTGATTTCAGAAATCTGCTTGCAGAAAGTTATATGGATTGCGACACTATAGTGAGATTAAGAACAAAATCAAATTTCAATGTTTTTTGAAGATCTGTTGCAGTATGCTATGTTAAGTTTTAGTAATGCTTATATGTATCAACAAATATCATCCAGTCTTTTTATAAACTAGGTTTATTGAAATTTCGAAAAATTATTTTCAAATGATTCCTGCTAAAATAGTGCTAATTTTTTTAATTCATATTCAGCTGCTATGGACAATTATTAATATTGTTTCATAAACAGATAATAAAGCTACTGGTGGGCATATTTCATTGTCTGGCAACCTATTTTTAATCGCTTCATCTAAGTTCTATAACAAGCTGAGCATTAGAGAAAATGATTACATAACAAATACTACATATTGATCACAGTGTGTATTATAAGAAAGAAATGTTGACTGTATTAAGACATGGAAGAAAGCGGGATGCTAATTGTTTGGCCAAGATTTAGAAAGTGACT